TATGGAAGAGGTAATGCCTCTAGTGTTTTATAGCTCGAATCATTATGTAAAACTCCATGTCATAAGTACTATAATTAAGCTTCACATCTAATAGTTTCTCACTAAAGTAGCCCACTGGTCTGCTCGTCCTAACTCAACATCGCCCTAATACCCAATTTCGATGTATCACTCTATAGCTCGAAGGGTTGTATAAAATCCGATAGCACCAAGATCGGGACATTATCAATTATGTTTTAATCTTTCAAAATGCATCTTCTGCCTCTTCGATTCAAGTAAACTTTGCTCCCTTCATGTAGTTAGTAATTAAGGCCATAATGTTGCTAAAGGGAGGAATAAAATGCTTATAAAAATAGACAAGTCCATGGAAACTCCAAACCTTAGTAAAGGTACTTGGTCGAGGCCATTGTCTCACTATCTCAATCTTGGACTCATCTATCTGCAATCCATGTCTAGAAATGATATAACCAAGGAATAACACCTTGGGCACCATGAACACATATTTTTTCACAACTAAATAAAACTTATCTCCGAAAAGCATTGTCATAACCTCCATAAAGTGCTTGAATGTGAACTTTAGAATTAACACTATAAATCGGGATATCATCAAATTAAACAACAATAGATTTATCGATAAATGGCCTCGAGGCCTAATTCATGATACACATAAAAGAGCTTGACATATTTGATAACCCAAACTATATTACTAATCACTCATACGGCCCCTCGAGTGTCTTAAAGGCTATCTTTCACTCATCTTCATACCTAATGCGTATATGATGATATCCACTCTTCAAATCGAGTTTTGTGAATATAGTCACGCTACTAATCTAATCAAGCAAGTCATCTAGTCATGGAATAGAAAACCTATATCATATTGTGATCTTGTTAATGGCTCAACTGTCTACACACATTTGCTAAGAATCATCCTTCTTTGGCATCAATAAAATAGGTACCTTGCAAGGACTCAAGCTCTCTCACACATACCTTTTGGCAAGCGATTTTCAACTCTGTCTCCTCAACTCCTCGATGCTTGTTAGCACTCATTCTATAATGGGTTTTGTTAGGCAACATTGCACCGGGCTCCAAGTCAATTTGGTGTTGAATGTCCCATAAGGGCGATAACTCCTCAAGCAACTCTTCAAGAAATACATCATGAAATTTCATAACTAGGGATCTACTGCTTTCGGTACTACCTCTTTAGTTCTAACTTTCTTTCCAATCAATACATAAATCACTTCCGAATCCTACAACTCCTTCTCAAATCGAATTAGCGACACTAGCTTGCTATTATCCTCTACGAGCTTACAAATAACTAGGACCTTGCTAGGTACAAAAACAATCTTTACACCATTAAACATGAAACTATAAGTAATAACTCATCCATTATGAATTATGCCTCTATCATACTACCAAGGCCTACCCAATAGTAGATGATATACATCCATTATAACAACATCACACCATATGTCATCCTTGTACTTAGAGCTAATAGAAAAAAAATTAAAACCCATTGAGAAACAATTACCTCTCCCAATTTTCTAAGCCGAGCCGACTTGTAAAACTTAGGATGCCTTTTTTTTTTTTTTTGAGATTCAGTTTTTACACTACTTCATCGGATACAATATTCTCACAACTACCAACATCATTGAAAAAATGACATACCTTTCTTTGAATTGTGTAGGTCGACTGAAAAATATTACTCCTCAGCCAATCATCATCAATAACTTGAAGAGTGAAGTGGGACTTCCTAATAACTAGTGTTGTCCCCTCGTCGCCTATCAAAACCTCCTATTTTGGAGCATCCGTATCATCATAAACTAGATTACTAACTAACACTACATCACCCATATCATAATCTTTTGTACTAGCAAGAAGTGCCTTATTCCCTACCTTTCGATACTCGAACTGTCTATGGCCAACTTTATCACGAGTCGAAGCACTTTATACCGTTATCAACTAAACTACTAGTCGACCGAGTAATGGGGGTGTTTTTGTTATCTTCAATGTGGACTACACCATTACCACTATTCATGCCGCTACTACCTCTCATATCGAAAGGATTAATAAAGCTATAAAAACGACATGATTGTTTCTCAATCTATAGTGCTTTTTGACAAGTAATAGAAAGGCACATAAGGTTAAACATATTAATAGAGTCCCTAATCTATAATTTTAGGTCATTAATATATCTCGCCACCAATTGATCCTTCGTCTCTTGTAATTCATTTTGGCTATCAACTGATAGAACTCGATGGTACAATAATCTTTTAGTTTTCCTATCTCAAATCCTATAGCTATTGGTACATCATCCTCCGAAAGTTATAGGGGAAGAATGTAGTATGTATGTGCTTCTTCATTTTTTTCTTAAGAATTAATCTTAGGTTTATCTATCTTGTTTTTGATCGGTTTTAACTACTTCAATCAATTTGTTACTCTCTTTCTAAATGCGGTGGCTACTAAAGATACACAATTGTCCTCAAAAAACTTTTTAAACTTTAGAATCTTTTCCATTGTCAACAACCAATCTAAGAACTCTTCTACTCGGAAGGTATCATAAAATTCAAGAATCTCGGTCCTCATACCACTCTTCCACCTCTTGTTGTTAGAATCTCTCATAGGAATCCTCTGTTGTCCGCATAAAACATCTTCGACATCCCTTCATCATCCAAACTAGCCTATGGTATCTTCCAATTATGATATCGGGCCTTATTCCTATGATCTTTGCCCATGTTCATCATCGGTGCACCCATTTATTGTGCTAACGCCCCTATCTACTGTGCTAGTCTGTTGTAATAACTGCTTTAAACTATCATTCATCTACTCGACTCACTACTCTAATCACACTTACTTCGGTGAGCTCATAAATCTCATCCATATCTTGTTATTGCTTGTCTCCTTGATAGCATGGTCAAAACAACAACGACACGGCTCTAATACCAATTGACGTAGAGAAAACATATACAAATAAAATAAATACTATTAATCTAAAATCTAGATGCTAGTCTACTATAATCTGTTAAATTATGCACAAATAATAGGAATAGCCTTCAACTTCGTTGATTCAAAAATTACAAAAATTGGGATAAAATTGAGATGCTCTCTTATAAAACTTTATTAGCCAAGAAAAACTGACATTTTTCTATCTCAAAGTCATACATAAATAGTGAAAATCAGCCAAAACCCTAAAATAATTCAAAAAGGAAACAAATACTAAAAAATTAAAAGATTAGGAAAAATCTCAAAAACAGTAAAAGTAGATTTTAAGGGCCTAAACAATATTTTTTAAGCCAAAATCACCCTTACATTATAGGCAAAGCCTATGAGTTTTGCTTTTTAATCCGTTTAAAAAACCTCGAAATTTGGTCGATAATTTTTGCTCGGCTTCTATCATGCTCGTACCGTTCCACGAAGTCTAAGGCCCGTTGGTTCTTATCATTTTACTTGCAATCTAAACTGAATGTTGCTGATAAGGTTAAAGTTCATCAATGAATATAGAGAAAGAAAAATCTCCAAACACTATATTAATTATCTACATAGTTGAATTAGGAACATAAACTATCAAAAAAAGCAATTAACAATCAAACAAGCTAAAATTACAACCAAGAGAATGCAATAGTCCAACCATATAAAGGAATAATGGCACTAGAAATAATATTATTTCCATAAAGTAGAGATCTAAAAACAGGTTCACGAATACCATCAATGTATATTGGAGGGGCGATAGTGGAAGCAATAATAAGTACGAAGTTCGATCAATAAAGTAGGAATCATCAAAACACCAAACCATCCAATGTAAAGACGATTTTCAATGTTGGTTATCCAATTAAAGAACCGATCCTAAAGGCTTTAGCTTTCATGTCTCTCTAAAATTGCAATCATGGTAAAATCTCGGTTTATTTAATCATCAAGGACTCCTAAGCACACGAATTCTCTATAAATAGAAATAGATAATTGAGGGCTTGTTATTCAACGAGTATAACATTACTTATATATCCATATCAACCAATATCAACATCTATGAATATATCTTTATGATCTTATCTATCTAGATTCATTAGAATTTTTTTGAATGAATGAAATTGAAGTGGGTACAAAATATCACAGGTTCAAATCTTGTCATCCCTACCTATTACTTTGCCTTTGAGCAATACAATAACAAGAAATCAATTGAGATCAATTAAAATTAAACATACCTAATCATAAATTATAAATTAATATGATATTATTTCTATCATATTATTATTTATGATATTTAGATATAATATAGTTTATATATGAGATAGTATAGTCATTCAAGATGTAGTGGAGTAAAATAAAAAAGCATAAAAGCATTCCTTCTAGAGTAGCTGTTAATACGAATAAGAGAAACCTTGTTATAGCCATTTCTGTACATTCAATATACTCTACGGATAGAGGAATACATAGAATTGAACATAGTAAGATAAGAAATTGAAAGATTTCGTTGAAATTGTTCATTTGGAAATTTCCCGAAAAGCTAATCATAGGTTCTTCAGTGGACTTCATGCTACTATAAGATCTGAGCAGCAGAAAACATCCATATCTAAAAATTTGCATTTGTTTGAGCTAGGGCTGATTTCCTTCCTTTATAATAAGTATTTAGTGCCAAAAGAGAAGGCCTGAATTGGGTAGTGAAACTGCCTATGGAATCGAAGAAATCCTGCAGGTACGACTCTGATCTTGTCTCCTACTTGTAATTGTTCTTCTCAATCTTCCAATCCCAACCAAATCTCTTCCGCATACCTCTGCTTCCATAAATCACCGTTCGAACACAAAATCTGCATCTCCGAACTAACGCATGCCATTCTTGCAACATCGGTGGCCGGAAGTAACTACAAAATCTTGCGCTTTAAATAAGATGAAAGGTGCGTAAAGCATGGTGGAAGAGTCGCTCCAGTCTTTTCGGATAGTGGTACGGACAATGGCAAAACCAGCTGATCCTTGACAGTTTTCCATAAACCATAAACTTCCCTCATCTTATCCTAATCAAGACAATTTCTCCGCAGCAAATCCAAAACCGGGGCAAATCTATTCTGATCCAAAGTCAGATACAACTTTGACCTACTCTCTGCCAAAGACCCTGAAACTACGACACAACCATTGATCAAACTCCGGATATTCAAAAAGATTGATTCAGAAACATTTTCCTTGTCCAAAACTTCCGGAAGAGTATAGGAAACTGACAACGGGGTAGCGGATGAAGGCCTCTCTCCAGGGAACTGAAGTCCATTAACACGTGTTGCAGATACCGAATCGAATCCAACAAGACCGGAGTTCAAGAAAGCTTCATGAACAGCAATAATCAAGAGGTCAAGAACATCACTCTCATCACCTAATACACTTCTCAAGATAGGAGGAGGAGAGAACCTCTCGCAGGCCATATCTTTATCCATGAAATCAAAAAGAAAACGAAAGAGTAGTAGAACTTTATTGAACAAACCAACAAAATCAGGTTTTCCACTCGACTGACACCCAAGAAACTAAGCTTCCATTTTTCTCTCCCACACACAATGACTAGGGTTTTTTCAATGCTTTGTTACAGACGAAAGATTAACCTGACACAGTAACACAAATATAAATACTCTTTTAAACCGCCTAAGAAAGTAGCTAACACTGATTCGGATTCTGCTAAAAAACTTAATCCTTGTTAAATTAGAAATTGAAACATGGGAACAAATATCCATTCTTGATAAGGAAAATACTTTATTTTTCCATATCATTTTATTTTTTAATTAACAAAACAATGTCTTGTGCGATATCCATTCTTGATTTATCTCCAGAAGCAGGACAGGCCAACTCATAAAGTTTTGGGCCTTCTTACGATGGTTAATCCAGGCTCTAAATTAACATCATGAATTGGTGGACACGGCAGAATTTGGGCTACTCGGGCGCAATAAAGAACACAAGTTGCCGAAGAATCTACACAGCTTAAGCCCATCGTTTCGTTTAGTGTATTCACTGGACTTGGAGTGCATTTCCTCTGACATTTGTTAATTTATTTTCAAACAGCATGCCTAACAGCAAGGAATATATATATATATATATAAACAGAAACTTAAAAGTAATAATAATAATAATAATTTAATCTATAATTAAAATCAAAAGTAACTATGAAACACATGCCGTTGCCGAAAATGAAAAATAAAAAAGAACAGAGAAGAACGTACGTAAAAAAGGAGGAAGAAGAACCTGCACAAACATTTCTAGCCTTTGAATGCTCCACAAGAAAAGGAAATTTGGGACAGAATGTTTGCTTGCTCTTGATGATGACTATCACGTTCTTAGTGCAACTACCATTATAAAATGTGAAAATAGGTGGCAACATTAATTAATTACCAGTGTCATAGATTTGTACTGTTTTTTATTTGTCTGAAAGTAAAAGGCTAACAAAAATGTGTTGAGTACATTCTAGTCTAGAATTTTGTGAACTTTTGTTTTGAGATGATGATGGATCAATCTTGATTTTGATCCAAATTTGGTAAGTGTGCGATAATGGTGTTTTTATAAAAATGTGTTTAGAATTTAATATTTTTTTATTATTTTTTTAATAGTTTTGATATCAGCATAACAAAAATCATTCAAAAGTATACAAAAAATACTTGCAAACGCAATTAAAAAACATGACTAAATGCAGTCTAACTGCTTCCTTCTTGGTTTGGATACATGTATTCTTTCTTTAGATTTTTCTCCATGCATGTTGGCTGTTTTTGCTTTATGGTGTCTTAATATATATATATATATATATATATTTGCTTATCCAAATAATAATAATAATACTAATCTCTTGTTAAGCATAAGTTAAGAGAATTTGTAAATATATAATTCAAACTGTTAAAAGGTGTATGGAAATATTATATTATGCCTAAGGAATTTTGACTCTGTATTTTTTTTTCTTGCATTAGAAAAATTGTTGGTTCAGTTGTTTTCAATTGTAAAAGTTAAGTCATAAAGTGAGGTTTTTCCTTACATTTATAACCAAACATCCAACTTTTTCTATAACATATGTGGAATAACCTAACAATCTTTTTTTTTTTTTTTTAAACATATCTAGTCTTAAATTGGCTATTTCTCATCAACTTGTATGATTTTGATATACGAAAAATTATTTAACTTAGACTTTGATACTAGTATTGGGTGCTACTGAATTTTCTTAACCAAACTTACTCAATTAGTAAGGCTTAAATATAATGTACTTGTCCTAATTAACGCTACAAAATATAAAATCAAAAGCATAAAAGCATTCCTTCTAGAGTAGCTGTTAACATGAATAAGAGAAACCTTGTTATAGCCATTTCTGTAAATTCAATATACTCTACGGATAGAGGAATACATAGAATTGAACGTAGTAAGATAAGAAATTGAAAGATTTCGTTGAAATTGTTCATTTGGAAATTTCCGGAAAAGCTAATCATAGGTTCTTCAGTGGACTTCATGCTACTATAAGATCTGGCAACAGAAAACATCCATATCTAAAAATTTGCATTTGTTTGAGCTAGGACTGATTTCCTTCTCTTTATAATAAGTATTCAGTGCCAAAAGAGAAGACCTGAATTGGCTAGTGAAACTGCCTCTCGAGTCGAAGAAATCCTGCAGGTACGACTCTGATCTTGTCTCCTTCTTCTTATAATTGTTCTTAATCTTCCAATCCCAACCAATCTGTTTTTCCAGTTGCCACAACTTTGTGTTTCAGAGGCATATCCAAACTCTTCCGCATACCTCTGCTTCCATAAATCACCGTTCGAACACAAAATCTGCATCTCTGAACTAACGCATGCCATTCTTGCAACATCGGTGGCAGGAAGTAACTCCAAAATCTTGCGCTTTAAATAAGATGACAGGCGCATAAAGCATGGTGGAAGGGTCGCACCAGTCTTTTCGGATAGTTGTATGGACAATGGCAAAACGAGCTGGTCCTTGACAGTTTTCCATAAATTATAAACTTCCCTCATCTTATCCTCATCAAGACAATTTCTCCGCAGCAAATCCAAAACTGGGGCAAATCTATTCTGATCCAAAGTCAGATACAACTTTGACCTATTCTCTATCAAAGACCCTGAAACTACAACACAACCATTAATCACCCTCCGGATATTCAAAACAATTGATTCAGAAACATCTTCCTTGTCCAAAACTTCCGGAAGAGTATAGGAAACTGACAACGGGGTAGCGGATGAAGGCCACTCTTCAGGGAACTGAAGTCCATTAACTCGTGTTCCAGATACCGAATCGAATCCAACAAGGCCGGACTTCAAGAAAGTTTCATGAACAGCAATAATCAAGAGGTCAAGAATATCACTCTCATCACCTAATACACTCCTCAAGATAGAAGGAGGAGAGAACCTCTCGCAGGCCATATCTTTATCCATGAAATCAAAAAGAAAACGAAAGAGTACTAGAACTTTATTGAACAAACCAACAAAATCAGGTTTTCCACTCGACTGACACCCAAGAAACTAAGCTTCCATTTTTCTCTCTCACACACAATGACTAGGGTTTTTTCAATGCTTTGTTACAGACGAAAGATTAACCTGACACAGTGACACATATAAATACTCTTTTAAACCGCCTAAGAATGTAGCTAACACTGATTCGGATTCTACTAAAAAACTTAATCCTTGTTAAATTAGGAATTGAAACATGGGAACAAATATCCATTCTTGATTAGGAAAATACTTTATTTTTCCACATCATTTTATTTTTGAATTAACAAAACCAAGTCTTGTGCGACAGCCATTCTTGATTTATCTCCAGAAGCAGGACAGGCCAACTCATATGGTTTTGGGCCTTCGTAGGATGGTTAATCTAGGCTCTAAATTAACATCATGAATTGAGTGGACACGGCAGAATTTGGGCTACTGGGCCCAATAAAGAACACAAGTTGCCGAAGAATCTTCACAGCTTCAGCCCATCGTTTCGTTTAGTGTATTCACTGGACTTGGAGTGCATTTCCTCTGACATTTATTAATTTATTTTCAAATAGCATGCCTAACAGCAAGGAAAGAAACTTAAAAGTAGTAGTAGTAATAATAATAATAATAATTTAATCTATCATTAAAATCAAAAGTAACAATGAAACACATGCCGTTGCCCAAAATGAAAAATAAAAAAGAACAGAGAAGAACGTACGTAAAAAGGAGGAAGAAGAACCTGCACAGACATTTCTAGCCTTTGAATGCTCCACAAGAAAAGGAAATTTGGGAAAGAATCTTTGCTTGCTCTTGATGATGATTGTCACGTTCTTAGTGCAACTACCATTATAAAATGTGAATATAGGTGGCAACATTAATTAATTACCAGTGTCATAGATTTGTACTGTTTTTTATTTGTCTGAAAGTAAAAGGGTTGAGTACATTCTAGTCTAGAATTTTGTCAACTTTTGTTTTGAGATGATGATGGATCAATCTTGATTTTGATCCAAATTTGGTAAGTGTGCTATAATGGTGTTTTTGGCTTATCCAAATAATAATAATAATAATAATAATCTCTGGTTAAGCATAAGTTATGAGAATTTGTAAATATATAATTCAAACTGTTAAAGGGTGTATGGAAATATTATATTATGCCTAAGGAATTTTGATTCTGTATTTTTTTTTCTTGCATTAGAAAAATTGGTGGTTCAGCTGTTTTCAATTGTAAAAGCTAACTCATAAAGTAAGGTTTTTTCTTATACTTATAATCAAACGTCCAACTTTTTCTCTAATATATGTAGAATAACCTAACAATCTTTTTTTTTTTTTTTTAACACATCTAGTCTTAAATTGGCTATTTCTCATCAACTTGTATGATTTTGATATACGAAAAATTATTTAACTTAGACTTTGATACTGAATTTTCTTAACCAAACTTACTCAATTAGTAAGGCTTAAATATAATGTACTTGTCCTAATTAACGCTACAAAATATAAAATTAAAAGAGGATCCAATAAATCTTAAGAGAATTGTTAGAGCACTTATCTTATATCATATAAATAAACAACAAATGAATAATATATAAAATTAAAAAATGACTATCTACCTAAGGTTTCAATATTTTGAATAGAGTCTAATCGAAATTATCAAATTTTATATGGTATTAATGCTTAAAAAATATCCAACGACTCAATAAAAATAGATTATATGTGAGAAAGAATGTTAAAATACCTTTTTTATATTGAATAATATATAAAATTAAGAAAGGATCATCGATCAATAGATTTAAACATTTTAAATAGAACTTAATTTTAACTATTAAATTCTACAAAAATTTACTATTCATTATAAAATTTAAATAAAACTGAAACTTAAATATCAAATTCAATAAACAAAAGAGAATTGAACTAATTAATTGAGAGGAGGAATCGGTCTAATTAACATATTCATTTTCGCTGTGGTCTCGTGCGAGTTTGGCCTAAAGATGTGTATTTTCTTTTGAAAATTGTACATAGTATATTTTTGCCTCAATGACTTTTTGATGTTAAAAGGAGCTGTTTCTATCTAATTGGTTACTTGTCATCTCATAACTCCTCGCTTTCTAGTTACTTGCCAGCTAAGAACTATGTATTAGAAAGTTTGACAGATTCAAAATTTGTTCCCCATCCCAGAAACTTCAAAAAGGTCAAATTTGGATGAGTAAAACCATAGGAATTTGTTGAAATTTCCAAATTTTATACAGAATGGAAGTCTATAAATACCTCTACATCCCCTGCGGAGACACCAAGGTTTCAACACTTTAACTAGATTTCAGTACTAGCTATCTATCTCACAAAGCTCTCAGAAAGTTTAAGCTAAACCTCTCTAACTCTTTTCCTTCTCGGTCTCTTAATTCCCTCTTTCTATACACTTCTAGAATCTCAGTCAATATCGCTCATATGGAAACTCCAAGATCACCTCTTCTACCTCCAACTTATGGAAAACAAATCACTATTCTTAGCATTGATGGAGGTGGAATAAGAGGCATTATTCCAGGAACTATCCTTGCATTTTTAGAGTCTGAGCTCCAGGTAGATCATAAGAAACTGGGTCCTTTTAGCACGAATATTGCACGTTAAATAGCCATGCAACATCATGCATGTTTTTTGTGTTTGTAAGCTCATGATCATATAATATAAACAAGAATAAGAAATTAAGTTGAATGCATGAAGTAAGTATAAAACTTAATAGTTTTAGCCTTCTCTGTGCAGTGCTGTAATGTTTATTTATTTGTCACGTATATGAGACTGAGTTGTTGCTTTGCTATTCATTACTTTTGTAGACGCTGGATGGTGCAGATGCAAGACTTGCAGACTACTTTGATGTGATTTCAGGGACTAGCACTGGTGGACTCGTGACTGCAATGCTAGCTGCCCCAAATGAGAAAAACCGCCCTTTGTTTGCTGCTAAAGACATTAATGACTTTTACCTTGAGAACTGCCCTAAAATCTTTCCTCAAAACGAGTAATAATCCTAATGATGAATTATTGCCATGAAACTGCTTTTTTTTTCTTCTTGAAATTGCCAAATTACTAATTATGTATTGTTTGGCAATAGATCTCCATTTGCTTCTGCTGCAAATCTGTTGAAGACTTTGAGTGGACCAAAATATGATGGCAAATTCTTGCATAGCATTGTCAAGGAGAAGTTGGGAGATACACACTTGCACCAGACCTTGACTAATATTGTGATCCCAACTTTTGACATCAAGCGCCTCCAGCCTACAATCTTTTCTAGCTATAAGGTGAAGAATATCCCATCTACGGACGCACTTTTATCTGATATATGCATTGGAACTTCAGCTGCCCCAACTTATCTCCCAGCCCATTATTTTGAAACCAAAGCTCCATCAGGCAAAGTTAGAGAATTCAATCTTATTGATGGTGGTGTGGCAGCAAACAATCCAGTACGTTCACGATTTATCCTTTATCAATCTTCAACATCTTGAACTTGTATGAACAAAGAATCTTATGACTTATTTTCTTTTGGGATTTTGAACAGACTTTAGTTGCCATAAGTGAAGTTTCAAAAGGAATCAATAAGGAGAATCCTGACTTCTTTCCCATAAACCCAATGGAATATGGCCGATTTCTAGTACTGTCCTTGGGGACTGGTACGGCAAAATCAGAAGAAAAGTATGATGCTCAAGAAGCAGCCAAGTGGGGTCTCTTAGGATGGTTGACTAGTGATCATTCTACTCCATTAGTGGATGTTTTTACACAAGCTAGTGGGGACATGGTTGATTACCATCTTTCCACAGTTTTTCAAGCCCTTAAATCAGAAGAAAATTATCTTCGAATTCAGGTGCATATCATGCCCATCTTGTTGTTGTATACAACCTAATTATACTAAAAAAAAAAAAAAAGGACATGATCTGACATAAATATATACAGGATGATTCATTGACTGGAACACTTTCATCCGTGGATGTTGCAACAAAAGAGAATTTGGAGAATCTTGTGAAAGTGGGTGAGAGATTGTTGAAGAAACCAGTATCGAGGGTGAATTTAGGCACTGGACTCTTTGAACCAATTAATGAGACGACAAATGAAGAAGCTCTCATAAAGTATACATCTCTACTGATCATGTCAAGCATCTCTTATTTTAATTTCATATTGCTATAATTTATTTGTTTATTTATTATGATTTTTCTTGGATTTCTGTAGGTTGGCGAAATTACTCTCAAGAGAAAAGCATCTTCGGGAAGCAAAATCAGCAATTAGAAATTAATCCTACTACTTCAAAACGAACATAATTATAAATTATTTGTTCATTCGTTTCTTTCTTTTTAAAAAATTAATTAGATGAAAATAAATATTGAATAAACAACTTACTTGATTGTAAGATAGTCTTCCAATAAAAAAGATGCCATTGCATATGGTATCCTAGATTTGTACTATGTAATTCTTATGTTTATAACACATGCAATGTAATTCTTTCATACCTTGAATATTTATCATAGAATTCAGATTAGTTTTTTTTTCTTTCTTTTTGATAAAAGGTAAAAACTGATCTTTATTTCTTTGACTGATGTGAATATTATCTAGTAATTATCTCTTCTTCTTCTTCTTCTTCTTCTTTTCCTTTATCAATGAGGATCATATTCTCATATCAACTTTCATGCAGTGAGATCAATTGAATTTTAAATAGATTATTGATGTTTGAATTTATGTTTTTACAAAAGCAAAATATTTTTGTTATCGTCTTCAAAATCCAATTCCTGTAATAACAACCAGAAAACAAGCCCGTTTATATATATATATATATATATATCAATGTTATTAAGCTCTAAGAGTGTTCAATACCCTATTAAGAGTGTTCAATAACCTATTGTAATTAATTAATTTCGGAAAATTATGTTCATTCAGTACATGGTATGTATTGTCAAAGGATACTAAGATATGATTTGTATTATTCT